TTAACAAGTAGAATATGAGAACTAATTCTAAATAACAAGTACTGTCTCCATAGTAAGTGATAAGCTCTAAACCTATTAGCAAATAGTATATAAGAACTATCTTTAAATAACAGGCACCAGTTTATAGTTCTTGTCAGTCTTATATATATTTTTCTTTTCTATCATAGTTTTACTGTTTTTTCTAAAAGTTTTGTTTTGAAAAGTTAATCCAAGAGATTATTGAGAAGAGTTAATTTTTTTATAATTTATACCAATATTATTATAGCTATTTTACAATATATTTCTAAAAAAAAAATTTACTATTTACAACTTTCAACATATTTTTTTTTTGTTAATAAAATGAAATCTTGCTTATATCTTTATTGAATAATTTATATAAGTAATTATATAGAAACTATATAAAACTTAATTTGTGTAATTATAAATAAATATAAACTATATGCAAAAATAAGAGTTTAGACTAAAAGTTCAAACTAAAGCTTAAACTAGTTATTTGCAATCTAAACCTACTAGAGTGGTCAAGACTTATCTAGATTTGGATAGTTAAAATATAATTAGTAAGAGTGCTATATTGAATCCACATTATAGACCAGATATCAAATTTGTGGTTAGTAAGTCCAACAGGAGGGCATATATAGTCAACTCTGTTTATAATGAACTGACAAGTCTTATAGTAAAAATTTTTAAAAGTTCGTTATATAATAATTTACTATATTTTATATACTGAACTTATATTAAATTTGAAAAAAAAAGTTTATTATATATATAGTGTGTTCATTATAAAAAGATTCGTTATATCCAGAGTCGACTGTATTAGACTCATCATGAAGTTAATCTAGTAAGTTATATGGGCAGTTGTAAGTAAATAACCTTTTGGTTCTGAAGGTTATATAGAGAGATGTTGTTGAAGATATATTTTCTTTTTTAAAGCTATCTATTTATACTTTAATCTTAAAAAACTTAATAATATTATCTAATATGGGGTACGGACAATAAAAACAGCCTATTTTTATATTTATCTTATTTTGAGATAACTAAGTTTAATCATTTGTTTTGATTTTCAGACTGATTCGGGATTATTCAAATTTCACAATTTTGATTGGTTAAAGGTAACAGGGAACTATCGGGTAATATTGTGATGTGTTGGCCCTATGTAGCCTCGTGCAATTTTTCTTTTATATTATCTTGATTTTTTATTATACAAATCAACTTTAATTTATAATTGAAAAATGTCAATCATGTCAAAATTTATATGAATCTAATAAAAACTCATTTTTTTAAAAAATTGTAAAAATGGGCTGTTTCTATTGTCCGCACCCTATATATAAAACATGCTTTAAAATATTCTTTACTTATTTTAACTTCTCTATTACCTTATTTAATTAATCTGCAAGTTTATATATTTCTCTATTACTATTTATATACTAACTTCTTACCTTTTGAATTACTAATACCAACTCTGAATAAAAAAATCTTTTTCATAATTGAAACATAAAAAATATCAAAAAAATCAAACAACAAATCTCTAACACTATTAACAAAAAGTGCTTCAAACTACAAACTCATCCTATTTCAATAATTAATAGTATTCTTAATTGATACAAGAACCCTGTCAAATTTAACAATATTTAATTAGATAACAATATCATTATTAACCTTTTTACTATTAAATCACAGACTAACAATTTTTTTCCATAAAAACCGGTTTGATTGGTTACGGATCACGTTGTTGTTAATCCCTGTTAATCTGATTGGCTGAAGTATATCAAAATTTTGAAAAATTTTGAAATGAATCATGTGATGTGGCACGAATTATGAAATTTAGTTTTTTAATGCCGGCCAAATCCAAAATAAAATTCCCTCTTAATCTTAAAAAAAAAAAACGGTTCATCCTTTACGTAGCTTGACAGACCTTTGACCCGCGCTTAGTGGCTGTGTCATTGTCACCTAGTCACGCTTGTACTGTGTTTTTAATATGAAAACAGGTTTATTGATTTTTATAACGAATCTATACGCTCAAATAGTGTAATCAGTAAAAAATTTCAATTTCATTACATTAGACAAAATTAAATAGCCTGCCAGATTCAATAAAACGAATAGTTTGAATAGATTGTCATATTACTAACAATAAATTCATACAATTATACTAGCGCAAAGTAAAATTTAGAATACATATATATATATTATTATATCTAGGAGTTCCCTATAAGGGATGATATCGTCTAGGATAGCCGTCAGTTTTAAGAGTGCTTTTTTTCTTTTTTAAGAAAAGTGCACTTCAACATACCACCAATAGAAAGACTAGAATGCATGAATATTATATTGATTTAATCTGCTGTTTCATTAACTTTTGTAATGTACTATCATCTAATTTTGCTTAGAATTGCTGAAGATAGCTAATAAACTCGCCCAAACTACTTCAGGATTTTGAGATGCGTCTACACCAGACCAGATATTTTTTTGTTTATAATATTCTACCACGGGTGTAGTTTGCTTATGATAAGTCACTAAACGTTTTTTTAAGGTTTCAGCATTGTCATCTTCACGTTGAATTAATGGTTCGCCAGTTACGTCATCTTTACCAGAAACTTTTGGCGGGCTTTAAAAAATTAGTCGGTTAATTATAAGAAACTTCTACACTTTACTATATTATCATGCAACTTACTTGAAAATTTTATGGTAAGTTCTACCGCTAGATGGGTGAATCAAACGACCAGTAACACGCGAAACCAATAAATTATCATCAATTACTAATTCGACGGCATGAT